GAAGAGGGCGGGGTATGGGTGTAACAACCCCAAGATGTTGGTGGGTCGAACTATCGGCCCGGCGCAGCATGCGTTTTGGTGGCAAGAGTCTGCTACAAAACGCACTTGCGGATCGAAGGCAGCATGCGTTTTGGTGGCCAAAGTCTAGCGTGCGTTTTGGTGGCCAGAGTCTGCTTCAAAAAGCGCTTAGGGAAGGCACGCCAAGATCCGTTTGTGAAGTTTCGGCAAGACCAGTGCTCCCCCAACGCATGCTGCGCCAGGCCGAAAGTTCGTCGCATTCACAACACAAGACAAGAAGACAGCAGAAACCCCCCTCTCCCCCTTAGACTCCTGCGCTCCAAGAGGTCCTCCTCCGGAACAATAAAAATAGTATAAGTTTATTCCAGGGGATTAATTCCTCCGCTGGCGAGGCTAGGACAAAGCCATGATGCAGTACTCCGCTGTCCTCCGTGAACTTTGTCTTGTCAAGGTCGACGAAACTTTATTCCCGGTCATGCTCCCTAGAAGGCCGTTTCCACTAAAAAATCTGGCGTCCAGGACCCAAGCTCCGATTTCTGCTTGCGTCTGCGGTCCTTGCGGCGCAAGACCTCTGAAGGTCTTCTGACGTTTTGGTGGCCAGAGTCTGCTTCGAAAAGTGCTTACGGAAGGCAGCATGCGTTTTGGTCGCCGGAGTCTGCTTCAAAACGTGTGCTTACGGAAAACAGTTGGTGGCCAGATCGAGTCTGCTTCAAAAAGTGCTTACGGAAGGCACCCCCGGGCCGAAAGTTTCGACCCACGGCACATGTTGGATGGCACGCAGACAGTGAAGGCTCCCGCGGAGTAGCGGAGTGCCGAGAAGTAGCGTTTTCCCTACGCCTGCTAGCGGAGAAATTAATACCCCGTTTTGAAAATATAGTACTATAGAAGCCCCGGAGGAGGCCCCCAGCCCCATTGTGTCAGGAGTCTATGGGGAAGAGGGCGGGGTATGGGTGTAACAACCCCAAGATGTTGGTGGGTCGAACTATCGGCCCGGCGCAGCATGCGTTTTGGTGGCAAGAGTCTGCTACAAAACGCACTTGCGGATCGAAGGCAGCATGCGTTTTGGTGGCCAAAGTCTAGCGTGCGTTTTGGTGGCCAGAGTCTGCTTCAAAAAGCGCTTAGGGAAGGCACGCCAAGATCCGTTTGTGAAGTTTCGGCAAGACCAGTGCTCCCCCAACGCATGCTGCGCCAGGCCGAAAGTTCGTCGCATTCACAACACAAGACAAGAAGACAGCAGAAACCCCCCTCTCCCCCTTAGACTCCTGCGCTCCAAGAGGTCCTCCTCCGGAACAATAAAAATAGTATAAGTTTATTCCAGGGGATTAATTCCTCCGCTGGCGAGGCTAGGACAAAGCCATGATGCAGTACTCCGCTGTCCTCCGTGAACTTTGTCTTGTCAAGGTCGACGAAACTTTATTCCCGGTCATGCTCCCTAGAAGGCCGTTTCCACTAAAAAATCTGGCGTCCAGGACCCAAGCTCCGATTTCTGCTTGCGTCTGCGGTCCTTGCGGCGCAAGACCTCTGAAGGTCTTCTGACGTTTTGGTGGCCAGAGTCTGCTTCGAAAAGTGCTTACGGAAGGCAGCATGCGTTTTGGTCGCCGGAGTCTGCTTCAAAACGTGTGCTTACGGAAAACAGTTGGTGGCCAGATCGAGTCTGCTTCAAAAAGTGCTTACGGAAGGCACCCCCGGGCCGAAAGTTTCGACCCACGGCACATGTTGGATGGCACGCAGACAGTGAAGGCTCCCGCGGAGTAGCGGAGTGCCGAGAAGTAGCGTTTTCCCTACGCCTGCTAGCGGAGAAATTAATACCCCGTTTTGAAAATATAGTACTATAGAAGCCCCGGAGGAGGCCCCCAGCCCCATTGTGTCAGGAGTCTATGGGGAAGAGGGCGGGGTATGGGTGTAACAACCCCAAGATGTTGGTGGGTCGAACTATCGGCCCGGCGCAGCATGCGTTTTGGTGGCAAGAGTCTGCTACAAAACGCACTTGCGGATCGAAGGCAGCATGCGTTTTGGTGGCCAAAGTCTAGCGTGCGTTTTGGTGGCCAGAGTCTGCTTCAAAAAGCGCTTAGGGAAGGCACGCCAAGATCCGTTTGTGAAGTTTCGGCAAGACCAGTGCTCCCCCAACGCATGCTGCGCCAGGCCGAAAGTTCGTCGCATTCACAACACAAGACAAGAAGACAGCAGAAACCCCCCTCTCCCCCTTAGACTCCTGCGCTCCAAGAGGTCCTCCTCCGGAACAATAAAAATAGTATAAGTTTATTCCAGGGGATTAATTCCTCCGCTGGCCAGGCTAGGACAAAGCCATGATGCAGTACTCCGCTGTCCTCCGTGAACTTTGTCTTGTCAAGGTCGACGAAACTTTATTCCCGGTCATGCTCCCTAGAAGGCCGTTTCCACTAAAAAATCTGGCGTCCAGGACCCAAGCTCCGATTTCTGCTTGCGTCTGCGGTCCTTGCGGCGCAAGACCTCTGAAGGTCTTCTGACGTTTTGGTGGCCAGAGTCTGCTTCGAAAAGTGCTTACGGAAGGCAGCATGCGTTTTGGTCGCCGGAGTCTGCTTCAAAACGTGTGCTTACGGAAAACAGTTGGTGGCCAGATCGAGTCTGCTTCAAAAAGTGCTTACGGAAGGCACCCCCGGGCCGAAAGTTTCGACCCACGGCACATGTTGGATGGCACGCAGACAGTGAAGGCTCCCGCGGAGTAGCGGAGTGCCGAGAAGTAGCGTTTTCCCTACGCCTGCTAGCGGAGAAATTAATACCCCGTTTTGAAAATATAGTACTATAGAAGCCCGGAGGAGGCCCCCAGCCCCATTGTGTCAGGAGTCTATGGGGAAGAGGGCGGGGTATGGGTGTAACAACCCCAAGATGTTGGTGGGTCGAACTATCGGCCCGGCGCAGCATGCGTTTTGGTGGCAAGAGTCTGCTACAAAACGCACTTGCGGATCGAAGGCAGCATGCGTTTTGGTGGCCAAAGTCTAGCGTGCGTTTTGGTGGCCAGAGTCTGCTTCAAAAAGCGCTTAGGGAAGGCACGCCAAGATCCGTTTGTGAAGTTTCGGCAAGACCAGTGCTCCCCCAACGCATGCTGCGCCAGGCCGAAAGTTCGTCGCATTCACAACACAAGACAAGAAGACAGCAGAAACCCCCCTCTCCCCCTTAGACTCCTGCGCTCCAAGAGGTCCTCCTCCGGAACAATAAAAATAGTATAAGTTTATTCCAGGGGATTAATTCCTCCGCTGGCGAGGCTAGGACAAAGCCATGATGCAGTACTCCGCTGTCCTCCGTGAACTTTGTCTTGTCAAGGTCGACGAAACTTTATTCCCGGTCATGCTCCCTAGAAGGCCGTTTCCACTAAAAAATCTGGCGTCCAGGACCCAAGCTCCGATTTCTGCTTGCGTCTGCGGTCCTTGCGGCGCAAGACCTCTGAAGGTCTTCTGACGTTTTGGTGGCCAGAGTCTGCTTCGAAAAGTGCTTACGGAAGGCAGCATGCGTTTTGGTCGCCGGAGTCTGCTTCAAAACGTGTGCTTACGGAAAACAGTTGGTGGCCAGATCGAGTCTGCTTCAAAAAGTGCTTACGGAAGGCACCCCCGGGCCGAAAGTTTCGACCCACGGCACATGTTGGATGGCACGCAGACAGTGAAGGCTCCCGCGGAGTAGCGGAGTGCCGAGAAGTAGCGTTTTCCCTACGCCTGCTAGCGGAGAAATTAATACCCCGTTTTGAAAATATAGTACTATAGAAGCCCCGGAGGAGGCCCCCAGCCCCATTGTGTCAGGAGTCTATGGGGAAGAGGGCGGGGTATGGGTGTAACAACCCCAAGATGTTGGTGGGTCGAACTATCGGCCCGGCGCAGTAGAGGTCTTGTTGAGTTGCTCGCCATGAGCATCAGGAAATATACCCTAAACCCCTGAACCCTAAACATCCCTAAAGCCTAAACATCCGTAAGCCCTAAAGCCTGAACCCCAAACCCCAAACCCAAACCCTAAACCCTAAACCCAAATCCCAAACCCTAGGTGAACCCTCCGATGGCCCACTCTTGGACCTCAGCTGCTGCACCTGATCTTCGAGCCTGGGCGATTCAGGCTGATTTTGGGGGGTACCCTGGCTTGGGGAGTCCCTTTAAGGGGCTTCTATTCTCTTGGGTATAGAAGGGGTACCCCTCTGTTGGGAAGTACCCACATGAGGTTTTAAGTTGCAGGTTTAGGGTTCAGGGCTCCGGGGCCCGTCGGACGTAGCTGACAGAGTCCATGTGTAAGACCTCCCTTTAGTAGTCGACAGATAAGCTTGGGGTTCTGGGTCCAGTGCACAACATCAGGGCCACCTCGCAGAGGAAGGAAAGATAGAACACCGTCGACTTGGATCTTGTGTTTGATTGGGTGCAATTGAATGTCTCACCCTACTGCACAAGCTTGCACCCGGATTCCTAGATGGCAGTAGCTCCATGCTGTTCTCATGACGTCATAGACCAACCCAGAGTATTCAACCTCTTGTGCTTCCTCAGGGGCTGCTTTCGATCCTCAAGCTGCTCTGCCAGCCTTGCTTCGAACTCCTTTGCCAATGTGAGGTTTAGGGTTTGCAGGGTCTGGGGCTGAGGCTTCTCTGGTTCACAAAGGCTGATGGCTCGGGTTACCATGGAGGCCTGGGAGACTGAGGAAACTGAAGGCACATTGGGGGGTTTCTCATTGTTGGGGTCCTTATTACAAGGGAATCCTACTATTAGGGGTCCCTTATTTCCGTAAACTCCCACATAGGCTCTTGCTGTTTGAACTTGTGTCCCAGCTTCTTCGGATTAGGGTGGCATGCATGGTTCTTAAGACCCTCTGAACATATTCCTACATAAGGTCCTCTTGAACCAACAATTCTACCCACATGTTCGATTGTTGCTTTTATGTGCAGGGATCTGTTCATGCGTGCTTTTGGTTTACTGGCATTCGATTCCCATGACAAGGGCAAATCTTCAAACCGGAAACCCTTGACCGGTGAAAATCTAGAAGCCCTGGAAGCCATGGTCCTTCCGCGCTTGCACGAGCTCCGCTGTAAAGACGTCCTGTCTCTGTCAAAGCTTCTAGACCCAAGAGTAACCTAGGAATATAAAGGGTGCACTTCCCTAAACCCTAAAGTGAGGGAATAAGGGCCTGCTCTGGGTCCTTGGCTTGCAACGAATGCAGAGCTGTAGGGGCTTTCATCCCAAGCTCTGTTAAAAGATTAAGGATCGAGGATATTGTGTCGAGGGAGGTGGGCTGAGGTCGGACATCAAGACTCGACCTAAGCCAGCGTCCCAACCTTCGAAACGCCGAGCTTGTCTGAAAACTTCTCGGCCATAAAGGTAGGATCAGGAGTGGCGTACTTGACTTTCCTTGGCTGCTGGCCCACCCGCTCCTCAATTTGAAGCCCTGAACAGATGTAGGGTTCAGGGTTTAGGGTTTAGGGTTCAGGGTTCAGGGTTTAGGGTTCAGGGTTTAGGGCTTGGCAGCTCAGTTTCCGAGGCAACTTGCGCAAAAACAGCTGGAAATCTCGCCAAGGCTCGCGTCCGGCAGGGCAGCGATGGCCTCTCGTCTGCCCGTGAACCATCCCCTACTACCCCCCTCTATACTATACTACCCCCCCCCTAGGTTCTCCTCATCATTAAGGCTACTTAGGGACATCTAGGCATAGTCAAGGATTGAGTGGGGGGAGTAGAGAGGGGGTAGTAGGGGAACCCGAGAACTGCAGACAGGAAACACCCAATATGCCGGTCCCTAGTGTCATCATCATACCGCTTGGGGTTTAGGGTTTAGGGTTTAAGGTTTAGGGTTTAGGGTTTAGGGTTTAAGGTTTAGGGTTTAGGGTTTAGGGTTTAGGGTTTAGGGTTTAGGGTTTAGGGTTTAGGGTTTAGGGTTTAAGACCCAGGCTTTGGCTGGCCTTGCGCAGCTCGTCGTAGTTGTTCAGAGCTGTGGTGACACAGGTACCCCGCCCTCCTGCAGGACTGCTGAGGTCTAGGGTTTAGGGTTTAGGTTTCGGGTTTGGGGTTTAGGGTTTAGGGTCCCGAGGCTTTCAAAACACAAGTGAAGCCCACAGCCTCAACTGTGGAGAAACATGCCAAGGATTCCTCCAGAAGCAAAGTTCGGCCGAATGCTGCTATCACCACTACCGTCAGTCTCTTTCTTCATCTCTGACCGTGCACGTTGCCATGAAACACGGCACTCCTTCTCGCTTAACAGTGCAGCCACCAAGTTAGGCTTAGCGGGCTTAGCGATACACGTTGCGTCAACAATAGAAACACAAAGCCGACAATGCATAAGGCTTGTAGGGTTACGCCTACACAGTCAAACCGTGAAACCTGCAAGTCGTTACACCCCAAAAAAACACCCCAAGCCCTCAAAACCCTCAACCCCTACCTTGGAGAAAAGCCAGGAAAGCAAAACTCTGATTACCCGTGGGTTGTTGGGGGGCTGTTAGCCGATACTCTTTCGGCTGAGAGCAAAGTCAAGTGTAACCTTTCAAGTCAGGGCCTAGTGGGAAGAAGAAGGAAGGGAAGCGCCAAGCCCCGTCCTCCCTTGCAGCACTAAGCCAGAAGCCGTAAATCCTAAGCCCCGCAAAAAACCCTAAACCCTAAACCCTAAATCCTAAACCCTAAACCCTAAACCCTAAACCCTAAACCCTAAACCCTAAAACACCATAAGACCCAGCTTCCCTTTTCTCTGAAACTTAGACCCTGTGCGCCTGGGGCAGCACTGAAGAACCTGAGCCAGTCCGTCCGATACTTTTTTGAGGGGCCCCGCGAACTTGTCCGGCTCATGTTGAGAATTCTGGGCCCTTTTTGGCGTGACCTACACGAAGGGAGAGACCATGGCATAACGACCCCAGATGGGCTAGTTCTGTAGATTCTTCGCCCCCACACTCCATTCTGAGAAATCCCGGTCGTCCGCAGTTAGTGCTTCAGGTTCACGGTCTCAGGGCTTAGGGGCGATCTTGATCAGGTAGGGTTGAGTGATTTGTTCCACCCCTCTTATTCGGGGAGGCGGGGTTGCCCCATTGTCGGGTAACTTGAAGATAGACGGGGCAGAACCTAAAACCCACTCCTTATCCTTCGCTAAAACGCACCTTCTTTCGGTAGCTTTCTCAAGGCCGTGAAAGCACCGCGAAGCTCGTGGACGCCATGCGCTGCCATGCTTGAACTCGTCTCCATGCTCACGAACAAGGACCCGTGGCACCCTCTCAGTTTTTGGGCCGCTTATAGGGTTTTGGGCGAGGGTTTAGGGTACACCGAACTCTCGGCCCTCCTTGCAACCCCAAACTCTTCAACTTGGAAAACTTTAAATCTGTAACCCTCCCCTCCCCCACCCCGAAACAAAACAAAGTAGCAGCTAACGTGGGTTACCCAGTATACACCCAAAACCCCAATACTCTCCAAGCCAAGTGGCTGGGCTGCGACCCCGACTGGGTGGCCCTGCACATCACGGCGGTCGGTACGGAAAAGCTCAAGCTCCTGGCGAGGGTGTCGGGTATGGGGCTCAGGTGGCTTTTAAGGGAGCTTAGGGTTACCAAACCTATCTAGCCTAAACCCGAAACCTTAAAATCCCCTTAGGTCCCTATTGAGGACTCCTACTTCCTTGAAGCTGCGCGCCCTCGAAAACTGTGAACCCTCAAACCCCCCGCTGAACCATGCACGGATACTCCAAAAGCCGAAGTTTAGGGTGTAGGGTTTGGGGCTTAGGGTTTAGGGTTCAGGGTTGAGGGTTTCGGGTTTCGGGTTTCGGGTTTCGGGTTTGGGGTGCGCCTCCTGCGTGGCGCGGTCGGCTTTGGTTCCCACGAGGATGATGTTGCGCCACTTCTCCTGGGCCAGGGGCCAGGGCGGAAAGGGTCTACTTTTGGGGGCCATAATCATGAGAATAGTGTTCTGGTGGTCTATTCGGACCATAAGGGAATACCATGAGTAATTCTTGCGACTCCTACATTGTGAGGTTTCAGGTCCTTAGGCCAAGGACCGAACTTCAAAGCCCCAGGCCTCTGCTTAGACGTCCGGGAGGTTACCACGAGGTCACGATTTACCGAGACAGCAAATGATGCAACACCAGAGCGAAACCAAAACCTGAACCCTCAACCCTAAACCCTATACCCTAAATACCCTAAATACCCTAAATACCCTAAATACCCTAAATACCCTAAATACCCTAAATACCCTAAATACCCTAAATACCCTAAATACCCTAAATACCCTAAATACCCTAAATACCCTAAATACCCTAAATACCCTAAACCCTAAATACCCTAAATACCCTAAATACCCTAAATACCCTAAATACCCTAAATACCCTAAATACCCTAAATACCCTAAATACCCTAAATACCCTAAATACCCTAAATACCCTAAATACCCTAAATACCCTAAATACCCTAAATACCCTAAATACCCTAAATACCCTAAATAGCCTAAATACCCTAAATACCCTAAATACCCTAAATACCCTAAATACCCTAAATACCCTAAATACCCTAAATACCCTAAATACCCTAAATACCCTAAATACCCTAAATACCCTAAATACCCTAAATACCCTAAATACCCTAAATACCCTACCCTAAATACCCTAAATACCCTAAATACCCTAAATACCCTAAATACCCTAAATACCCTAAATACCCTAAATACCCTAAATACCCTAAATACCCTAAATACCCTAAACCCTAAACCCTAAGCCCTAAACCCAACCCCCCAATACTCAGGCGCACAGCTGCCTTGACGTCCCAAAAAACCCCGGACGCGCGCCTCGCCAAGAAAGCCATGCTCGACCAGTAGTTGCACAACCTGTGCGCCCAGCCTCCAGGGCGGACTTTGGTGTCTTGTTTCGGGCTTCAGAGTTTAGCATCCGGGGTTTAGAGTATAGGATTTAGGGTTCAGGGTGGGGTTTAGTTCTGGTTAACTTTCAAGCACGGCTACGGCACCATGACGCGAGGGCAGTGGGGTTTCGACGCTTATGGTTTTTGCCAGACAGTTTCTGCCCCAAACGATCGAGCCACCAACAAAATGCCCTGCCATCTCCACCCCTCCCCCCCCCAAGAAAAAGCGGATAACAATGGAAGTTGCATCCTTCCTTTAGGAGTTGTCTCCCACAGTCCGGGGTTCGGCTTTGTACGTTGTAGGTGGCAACACCCTAAACCGTAAACCCTGGGTGAGGTGGCAGCCGGAACTCTGACCTCTGAGCACCCCACAAGCCCAACACCCTCGGTCCCCATTTAAACTTAGGCACCCAACCGAAGTACTGTTTGAAGCACGGCGAGGACGTGCGCAGACAGCTTTGCTAACCCACAGGATTCAACTTTAACAAAAATGCTATAGAGCCCCTCCCCTCAAGGCATTCCCGAAACCCTCAGAATGAAAGAAGCTCTAGCCCTAAACCTTAAACCTTAAACCATAAACCCTAGACCCTAAACCCCAAACCCTAAACCCTAAACCCCAAACCCAGCCCCGCTTGACGCGGCCATCCGGGATTGGGGTGGTGACGATGACACCATCGATGGAGTCGTGCCCTCCCAGCTCATCCGTCATGAGCTCCTTGCATTTTGGGATGTTCCCCCTTGTACTGACAGTCCGTAGTAGGGATGATAGTACCCCCATTAGTATGTTCCCTATTAAGGGCTGCTAGTATATGGGGGAACCATCCCAAGATGCATTATTTCACACGAGGTGCACTCGCTCAGGGCTTTCAAGGCCGGGATCTATAGGTTGAACTCGGGCCAGGCCACGGGAACCCTTGGGTTTCCCAGACTCAACTCTACAGCTTCGCTCGGAGGTTTCGGGTTCAGGGTTTAGGGTTTAGGGCTTCGGGTTTAGGGTTTAGGATTGAAGGTTTAGGGCTTAGGGCTTAGGGTTTAGGGTTTAGGGTTTAGGGTTTAGGGTTTAGGGTTTAGGGTTTAGGGTTTAGGGTTTAGGGTTTAGGGTATCCGCTCCTGCTCGATCATGGTGAGAACCTTCATGGGTGTCACGTCCGTGTCCCCGACGCCCGGCGTGTCCAAGTAGTCGATGGGAACTCGATTGATGGGCTTCCCCACGTAGGCTGTGATCTCTTTGGTGATACCTCTCAGCAGAACAGAAGCTTGAAAGCCTAAACCCCAAACCCCTATGACGAGGACGCGGTATACTCATCCCTCTTCTGGACTGTCATTGGTCCTAGAAGTCCTAAACCCTTGAACCAAAAGACTTTAGTCCTTACCGCCGAAACCTAAACCCCAAACACCCACTTGACAACTAAAGCCCCAAAACAACACTAAGAATGGCAGTGATGAATGACAACAAAAAACTTCAAAAATGATTCCACTACAAGTATACATCTTTAACTCCACCATTCCAATACTACAACAAAACCAAAAGGGTGAGGAAAAAGAAGGACAAAAGACTTAAGCTCTCGGTCCTCAGCCTTCAGCCCTGAACCCTTAACCCAAGCTATACGCTTCGGAGAGGGCCGCATGACAGTTCGCATAAGCCCTGAACCCTTAAACCCCACCCCCCCCCCCCCCCGGGTTTAGGGTTAGGTTTAGGGTTTAGGGTTTAGGGTTTTAGGGTTTAGGTTTAGGGTTTAGGGTTTAGGGTTTAGGGTTTAGGGTTTAGGGTTTAGGGTTTAGGGTTTAGGGTTTAGGGTTTAGGGTTTAGGGTTTAGGGTTTAGGGCTTCCCCCCTCCCCGTCTCCCCTGCCCCACCTCGCGAGTGAAGGCCAGCTTCGGCCAGGCCGCTGCGCTTCGGATCCCGGAGCGCGTTGATCAGCGTACTCCTTTGGTCGGTCAAGGGGGTTTAGGGTTTAGGGTTTAGGGTTTAGGGTTTAGGGTGTAGGGTTTAGGGTTTAGAGATTTAGGGTTTTAGGGATTTAGGGTTTTAGGGTCTTGGGGTTTTAGGGTTGTGGGGTTTTCGGTTTAGCGATTTAGGGCTGTAGAATTCGCCGCACTCCCTAACTCCTTGTGAAGAGCTCGTAAGTGCAGGGCCCTCCTTTGCACGAAAACCTGCATTCTAGTGAGTCGCCGTTCTCAACTCCTGCATAAGATGCGTCAAGGCAAGGGTTGAGGCTGTTGAGGGCGTTAGTGTCTCAAGGAATCGAAATGCTAGGGTTTAGGGTTTAGGGTACTCTCTCTCTCTCTCTCTCTCTCTCTGACTCTCTGTCTGGCAACCATGGAGGCCGCACGGTCTAATATAGGGGCCTTAGCAATAATAAATGGGGTTTGGGGGGGGGTACTATATTATGGTATAGTTATAAAGGGGCCACAAGCGAATACTGTTAGTAATTATTCCGACCCCTAGGGTGGTCTCTTTCCACCCGCCTTCATACTCCAAGCCCGCATGTCAACAAGCAAGAGGGTTTGTGGCCTGAGGGGTGCGGGTTTCAGCTCTTTGCTTTGATGTTTGGTTGTCGCCTTTCTTGGCTTAAGTTGCCTACTTTGCGTCTAATCCTACTTGTACTTGAGCAACAAGTCATGCAATGCATATAACTCTATATATATATATATATGCACAATTAGATCATGTATTCTGTACTGTAGATGAGATTTTGTACTACACATGTACTTCTTGCATAAGCTAAGCCCTAAACCCTAAACCCTAAACCCTAAACCCTAAACCCTAAACCCTAAACCCTAAGAACTTTGGAGTATGTCCGGCCCTTGTCTCCACGACAGTCAGGTTGATGGTGGGGGTTGCAAGCCGAGGGTCTTGCCGTCTCCGCACTCACCGACCACGAGAAGCACCTGCAAAGAGGAGACTGCAAACTTTAGGGTTTAGGGTTTTAGGGTTCAGAGTTTAGGGTTTAGGGTTTTCGGGTTTAGGGTTTAGGGCTTAGGGTTTAGGGCTTCAGGTGGTAGCTGGCCAGGGGCATTCCCGGAAGATGCAGTCCTCTCAGAAACCCGTGTTGAGTGGCGCTTGCCAGATTGATGGCGATGAGTGCCCCACTTCCTCCCGCTCTGTGAACCTTTCAAACCCGGCCCAAATCCAAAGATGGCATCATTGATGCTCTGGAGGCGTTGATCTGCAAGATTCCACAAGCCAGACACGTCCCACCCCGCCAAATTTGCTATAACAGGCAACATCTCCAGACCGAGCATTGATTGTGTTCTCAGGGGAGGGGGCTCCCCAAGGCTCCCTATGCCTACCCCCCTTGAACCCCCCTCCCTTGAGAACCCAGTTGAGAAAGACGCTCCTGGAGTGAAAAGGTCTACTGACTATACAGCTTGGGGTGTTTAGGTTGAAAGGGTTCCGGATCGAAGCCCCAACATTAGACGCTCGAGACTCAGTGTGCATCCCATATCTCGCCTTGTGCTCCGACTCGCAGGCAGGCTCTGGCAGGAGCCTGACTCACCCAGACAGCTGAGTGTGGGGCTTAGGGGCTTAGGGCTTTGGGATTCTGCGCAGATCCTCGCAAAATCTGCTTAGCTACTGCAGCACTTAAAGCATGGCAGTGGCGCCAGTGCAATTCTACTTGGAGTGGAAGGGGGAAGCCTGGAGTTGAACCACAAGTCACGCTCTGATTGTCGTGCTGATCTACATGAACAGCACCGGAAGGGTTCGAGCTCTGCAGATTTACTGGCTGCTTCCAGCAAGAAGTCTTTCATTACGGCTGCTGTGGCTGGTGTTGGGCTCTCTCAGGAACTGCGCCCTACATACCAATGACTGTCTGATCGGCATGCCATGCTTTGATGCAGAAGCACATTCCTGGGTGGAGATGTCAAGGCGCCCCTGCGCAGCACTCTCTTTACCACATCGTCATACCGCGTCATTGCGTGCAGTCATAAATCAGCAAACACTGGTGAGCAATGACGGCACAGCACACTATGAAGTTGAACAACATGCCATGGCAAAGGGCGGCAACAGGCAAGAAGCATGGATGTTGCGAACCTGAGAGGTGGAAAACATAAAATTAACAAACTATCGCAAGAATACGAAACTGATAACTCATAATACTACTAATACTGATTAATAAGAAGATAAAAGAGACTTTATATATATATATATATTGTATAAATAAATATATATATATATATACATATATAAACAAAAAGAACCCCCCAACGTCCAGGCCATGCTAGCTATTCTGCAGGCCGGCTGCCGGCGCGCGGTGCGCCGAACCCACGCTGGCCAGTCCGGCAGCCAGTCGAGGGCCGCATCCAGGACCGATCGCTTCGTCCCAGAACCTCAGCAAAGATTGGAGGGTTTAGGGTTTAGGGTTTAGGTTGTAGGGTTTAGGGCTTAGGGTTTCGGGTTTGAGGTGAGTTGATCGTGTTACCTTCGCTGCTCAAACATGGCCCGATCGAGAGGGCTGCATGACTGGCACAACCTCTAACGGCCTCCTGAAATCAAATTCAACGATGCAAAGTCGCGGTGACATCTACAGCACTTGCAGCAGCAACAAGCCAAAGCACGAAAACCCTAAATGCGACCCACTGTTACAACACTTTAAGACCCTTCCCTTTGGGGTGGTTTGCGGAAACAGCCTTGTCTTGTGACCTTTGTCTAGGGTGTGTACTGACCTCCAGAAAGCATACTCCCGATATAGGATTTTACAAAAATTAGGCTACATATAGCCCAGTAGCTAGCACAGAATAAGGTCGCCCCTTTTTTGGGCACTGGTCACTTTATATAGAAGGGAACCTTGAACCAAAAAAAAGGGGGCAAAAGGATACACCTGGCGTCAGTTCTTACTCCTCCAATAACCCAGGGGACAAAAAATGGTTTAACTTGATTACTCCTAGTAAATAAGAAAAAGAAACAAGAGGGTTAAACTTCATAAACTAAATTAAGGAAACGCAAGAAAGTTTGAAGTTCAACTATTGGAGTAAGTAAGTTAACTAGGATGGTTCGTAACAGTCTCAGAGTAATGTTCCTGAATATGATCCTCTTAAAAACAATAAAGGAAAATATGAAATGTCCCAAGGGCCTACCAAGTTAAGGAGTCGCGTGGCCAGCTCTCCGACATGATTCTTCAGATGGCGAGTCGTCGCGCAGACTGGGAGTTCCATCGAGGCCTTGGTGGCATGGCATTCTTCAAACCCTAAACCCTAAACTCTCAACCCCAAACCTCTAAGCCCTAAACCCTACAAAGCCTAAACCCTAAACCCTAAACTCTAAAACTCTAAACCCTAAACCCTACAAAGCCTAAACCCTAAACCCTAAACTGTAAGCCGTAAACCGTCGGGATGCCAGGACCTCCTGAAACCTGAAACCCTAAACACCCAAAATGCGGACGAAGTTCGACCATGGGAGTCCCCCCCGCGCTGGTAGGGTTCGTGCTCCTCAGGGGGCTAGGGTTGAGGAGTGTTGGTTCCTGGGTTTAGGGTTTAGGGTTTAGGGTTAAGGTTTTGGGTTTAGGGTTTAGGGTTTTGTGTTTAGGGTTTAGGGTTTGGGGTTTGGGGTTTGGGGTTTGGGGTTTGGGGTTTGGGGTTTAGGGTTTAGGGTTTAGGGGGCTAATGTTGGGAGTGTAGGATTTTGAGTTTAGGATTTAGGGTCTAGGGTTTTCAAAAGTTTGTGTACAAGATTTCTGAGGGCTTTAGGCGTTGGGGTCTGAGAATTCTTCTGGAAGTCTTGCGTTTGGGACTGTGCGAAGGCTTGACGACCTTAGCAGGCACAGATTCTGTTCCGCACCAGACCCAAATTGACCGACCCAAAACACGGCTAAACTAAACTTGGAGGGGGTTGAATGAGTTAGTCCTATACTACTATACAATGAGCTAGTCCTATGCTTCTATACCGTACCTCTACCCCAGCCGAAAACCAGAAACCCGAACCTCGCAGACCGCCATCGCGCAGGCACCTCCAAACAGGCTAAAGGCAGGTTTTAGGGTTTAGGGTTTAGGGTTTAGGGTTTAGGGTTTAGGGTTTAGGGTTTAGGGTTTAGGGGCGTCTCGCCGCGCAGCGGCAGTATGTGTAAATGGCGCCCCTACACACCCAGGGGGGGCGGGGGGCGGCATGTCACGCGAAGGAATCTGTTGTCAATGTAGTCCAACAATTTCATTGGTGGTGGGTTCTTTCTCCCCACCCGCTGTGAGCTTTCACAGGCCACCACCCAAACCACTGCCTTTTAGGGTTTAGGGCTGTCGCCCTCAATTCCCACCACTGCTTTCCCTAGCGGGGCGGGGGGTCAGGTAAGGGGGAACACAGGAGGGGCCAGTTGAGCGGGCCAGGGGGGAGCTGGCCATGGGGCCAGCCAGCCAGGGCTTGTCAGCGGCTGGACCTCCAGGGGGGTCAGGTTGGAAAAGGGGTACCCCTTTCATGGCTCAGGATTTTCGGGTCAGGGTTAAGGGGTTTTAGAGGGGGGACCAGGGGGTCCAGGGTGGTGGACTTTTGAGGGCTCCGTCCTTGCTTTTAGGGTGTTCTCATCAAGAGGAGGATCAGAGGATCCCTGTGTAAATATGGGCGCCACTCTGGTGGCCTAGTGGCAAGGCGAGCCCTAGGGGCTCTCTATTCGACCATTCTCCAATGGCTCCACTCATTGTCCATCCAGTAAAGTGCCCATCACTGCCGGGCATCTTCTGGGACCCTAGAAAAGGGTGGGTACGGCCTAAGCAGGCCGGGTGAGAATTTAGGGTTTAGGGTTTAGGTTTAGGGTTTAGGGTTTCATGGGCCTTTTAGGTCGGTTTGGGCTTAGTGTGTTCAGAGTTTCGGGCTTGAGTTTCTACTCTGCTGCACTGGAAGCAGGTACCAGAAGGCGCAAGCCCAGCCACCCTGAAAGAGGGCTGCAAATCTAGCCCCTACTCACCCTAAACCCTAAATCCCAAAGCACCCCACCCTAAACCCTAAACCCTAAACCCTAAACCCTAAACCCTAAACCCTAAACCCTAAACCCTAAACCCTAAACCCTAAACCCCACAGCGCCAAAACCCTGCATTGCGCAGCTAAGGCACAAGGAGGGCGCTGGCCCTACGCAAAGCCGGCGCTTCAAAGCCAATATGCTTCCAGGACGTGCTGAGGTACTTAGGGTTTAGGGTTTAGGGTTTAGGGTTTAGGGTTTAGGGTTCAGGGTTCAGGGTTTAGGTTCAGGGTTTAGGGTTTAGGGCTTAGGGTATCGTGCGTTATGGATTTTTGCCACGACTTGGATCAACATGTTTGGAGAGGGTTGAGTCAGGGTGTGGAGGTTACGAGCTTGGGCTGAAGGATTCGGATAAGGGTCTCCATATGAAGTCCCTTTTGCAAGAGAACGCCATCTGCATAAAGGTGCCTCTTAAAGAGGCCTGAATGTCGAACAGCCTGCATCGAGATCTTCCGATGCCTCCTCTATTTCGGGGGGGTCATGGAGTTCCTAAACCCTAAACTTTCAACCCAAAATAGCACTGCGCCTCCCCAAAGTACCCCCAAGAAGGTTCCCTTGGACCCTTATTGAGGAGAAGCTGGGGCCTGGATCCATCCCTAAACCCTGAACCCTAAACCCTAAACCCCAAACCCTAAACCCCACACCCCCAAACCCCAACTCCCCGACCCTGCGGATGACACACGAGCCCGCCACCGCCAGGAGGAGAAGCCTCAAGACCAGGCAACATCATCTTGTAGGGCTTTTTTGGGGGCTTGAGGGGCTTTGGGTTGGATGGTTTAGGGCGTAGGGTTCAGGGTTTCGGGTTTCGGGTTTAGGGCCTTTAAGGGTTTTAGCGCTTTAGGGTTTTAGGGCTTGTTCGGATCTAGGGTTCTTTAGGTACTTTAAGGCTTTTCGGGTTTAAAAGGTCTTTGGGCGTACGCTGGAACCCTAAGCGGGCCCCTCCCCCCCCTGCCCCCCGTCCCTCCCCTCCCCCCCCCCCCCCCCCCCCCCCCCCCCCAAAAAAAAAAGCACATAACAACTCAGCTTCAGGGCTGTTGTCTTTTCGGGATTCGAGTGCCCTTGATTCTTCTGGGGTAGCCCAATAACAATAATGTCTCATTGCTTTATAAGGATTCGTTAGGGGATTCAGGGGAATAAGAATTCCAAAACTATGTTCAAACCTACCCCGGCCCCTATAAGGGGTCCCCTTTTAAGGGCCCATACTAAGGGACCCATGAAACTACCCTAAACCCTGAACCCTAAACCCTAAACTTCCTAGACCCTAAACCCTAAACCCTAAACCCTCAACCCTCAACCCTAAACCCTCAACCCTCAACCCTCAACCCTCAACCCTCAACCCTAAACCCTAAACCCTAAACCCTAAACCCTAAACCCTAAACCCTAAACCCTAAACCCTGAACCCTAACCCTAAACCCTAAGCCCTAAACCCTAAACCCTAAACCCTAAACCCTAAACCCTAAACCCTAAACCCTAAACCCTAAACCCTAAACCCTAAACCCTAAACCCTAAACCAAACCCTAAACCCTAAGATTCTTGGAGTCGGCCACGGCACTGTGCCAGGAGCCACGTGGCGTGGCCCAGCAGGGCCATGGCGCCTCTTGAGCAGTGGGCTCTTGGGTGGTTTAGGGTTTAGGGTTTAGGGTTTGGGGTTTGGGGTTTAGGGTTTAGGGTTTAGGGTTTAGGGTTTAGGGTTTAGGGTTTAGGGTTTAGGGTTCGGCTTCCCAGTGACTCAGGAATCACCAAGGATCTATGCCTTCCTTGGCTCAGGCGGTTTACTTGGCTTCCCAAAGCTTCGTGCTGTGGCAAGTGGATGGGAAACTTGGAATGGTCTTGAAGGGCAGTGGCAAGTTGTTGTGTAGGTTTGGGTGGCTTTGGGGGCGTCTGAGCTTTGGGGGCGTCTGGGCATGCAGCAATGTTCGTGTCTTCGGGGTGCATTCGCGCAGACTCTGCATTCAGTCCAGAAGCCCTGAATCTTAAGAAGCTCGCACGCACGAGCGAGAGCGAGAGAGAGAGAGAGAGAGAGAGAGAGACGGCCAGCGGGCTCGTCCTTTTTCTCTTTATCCCTTTCCCTCCCTTCCCACACACACACACACTCACGTGCACACATGCACACTCTTCCACTTGCCGGAGAATGTAGGATTTTGGGCTTCGGCTTTCATCCCCGAGCCTAGCCCAAGAGCATCGACGTGGATAGCGATCTGCAGGTACACGAGCAAGATCTGCGCAGGAGGGGGGGTGGGGTGGGGGGGGGCTGAGCTAGCCATTGTTTTGGTTGCAGGGGCTTCAAAGGGACAAGGAGTTTAGGGCTTGATGAACATGAGCCGCGCAATTCTCTGGATGGGATGCCACCTGCTCCTAACATCAGTGGTCAAAGCTGCTGAACTTTGTGGTTGCCTCTTGCTCAAAACCACAACACTTTCCAGAGATACTGACCTGACTGCGCAGTTTCCTAGGTGAAGCCATGGCGAGTACTTGGGACCCTAAAGTGGCTACACAAGTACCCACAAAGATGATACAGGTGGAGCGAGCGAAGTCCTAGTAATTCCCTTCCCGGGCAGTTGACTCTGCGAGAGAAATCTAGGGCTCATGTCATAATGAGAGCTTTTTGATCACCTCCGAAACATAGACCTATGACTGAATCATGTGACCACTCCAAGGGGGGGGGGGGGGCCTTTTTTTTTCGGAGTCGGGGGAACCACAAAAACATCGAAGGGGCTTGGAGCTTCGAGGTTGGGAGGCCTGTACCATCGAGCCCCCACGGCTTGTGCAGATCTCCAGCAGGGCCATCAGAAACATGCCGACGAAGACCATGGCGCCACCTAAACATGGTGGCTTAAGGGTTTAGGGTTTCGGGTTTAGGGTTTCGGGTTTAGGGTTTACGGTAAACTATACCCGGCAGGTTACCATGAGGGGGTGGGGATTCTTGAGGTTCCAGTCTAGGGCTTCCTCACTGTCGCGGGGTCTCCACGCTTTGAGATGACACTTCTCCAAACCGGACAGGTCCAATAACCAACTCCATACCAACTCCAATACTCCAGCAAAACCCTAAACCCTAAACCTAGACCCGAAGCCCTAAACCCAATAAGGGAGAACCCCCTACACTCTAAAAGTCCAGCAAGGGAAACCCTAGAACATCCCCACAAGAAGGCCTAGAAGAACTGCCCTGGGCTTCTGGCAGATGAGCGCTCCGATGTCCGTCCGCAAGGTGATTCCCTCACCAGAACCCATCCTGGAGTTGCTTTTTGCAACTTGGGTTTAGGGTACCCTATGTACCCTAAACCCTAAACCCTAAACCCTAAACCCTAGACCCAAGTCGGGCTTGGAGTTGGGAATTCGGGCTTAGGTTTGTTCGAGATCACAGCACCCAGAGACATGAATGCTCGTGAGAACCGAACCCTAAATCCTAAACCCTGAACTCTGAACCCTAAACCCTCAACCCTCAACCCTCAACCCTCAACCCTAAACCGTAACCCCTAAACCTAAGTTTAGGGCCTCTTGGCCTCAAATCGCTCGGTCACCCTCCCCAGTCTGAGCGCACTGCGTGGCAAGAACCACCACCGACGCAGCGATGATGCCCACCTGGGGTCTAGTGAGGGCTCGAAACCCACTAGAAGCCGCCCTATGAACCGTAAAAACCATGTAACCCCTATACATACAACTGCAAAAAGGCCTACAAGCACTGCAAGCCCTCTGCCCATGAGCTTGGGTATGGGTTGCAGCAGCTGCCGAGACGACTAGGGATGTAGGCATTTCGGGGTTGGGTTTTGAAAGTGGACGGCTCGGATGTGAGTCTGGGAAGGCGTTGGGCTAGTTGGGGTGTAGGTTTGGGCTTTAGGGTTTCGGGTTTAGGGTTTGGGGTTTAGGGTTTGGGGTTTAGGGTTTGGGGTTTAGGGTTTAAGGCGTGGGGGGCTTCGGGGTTTAGCGCGAACTTCGGATCCTCGCCGGGGTTGCGGATGCGTGGAACTCACCTCCCCCCCCCAAAAGTATGCATTA